GTTCTTTACTGCACAGTGAGTGAGCACTGGAACCAGGTGTGAGCACTGGAATCGGCTGTGAGCACTGGAACAGGCTGTGAGCACTGGAATCGGCTGTGAGCACTGCACTGGAACAGGCTGCCCAGAGTGGGAGCCTCCCTCTCTGGAGATACTCCAGAAGCATCTGGATGCAATCCTGTGCCATGTGCTCAGGGATGACCCTGACTGAGCTGGGAGGGTGGACCAGAAGACCCTGCTGTGGTTCCTTCCAACCTGACCCATTCTGTGTTTCTCAGACTTTGTGACAGATGAGAGTGGCAACAGGCTCATGGGCGATTGGAAAGAGAAATGCAGCAAAATCAAACTGTAGGAGGGTAAGGGACAAAACTAATGGAGGGATTCAAACAAGTGGTGGAGTACAAGGCTAAAACCAGGCGACAATCACAGAAATGTGTGTATAGGAAGTACAGAGGGATGGCAGCACCAAAGAGCTGTACAGAGGGTGGCACAGTCATGCCACAAACAGGAGATTAATGCACTGAAACGAGGGGATGCTGGCAGGACAAAGTGTAGCAAGGTCAGAAGGGCTGTAATAAATATTTATCACACTAAGAATGGTAATGGCCCCTCAGCCCTTTCACCTGCCTCTCACCTGAACCCGTGGCAGCCCAGCGCCCTGCCGGGTGCCAGCTGCTGCCTGTGCCCGGGCCTGTCCCCGCGGCTGTCGCTGGGGCCCTGACATGGACGGAGGGGAGGAGAGAAGGAAGGAGGGAGGGTGGGAGCGAGGGCGGGCGGCCGCCGGTTGCCCGGGCGAAGGCGACGCCACAGCGGCCTCAGCGCGGACAAAATGTCGGCGGTCGGCGCGGCCCGGCGGGGCGGGGACCTGCCCGGGGTAAGGCGGCGGCTCGGGCTGGGCTCGGGGCAGCGGGACCGTGCCGAGCCCGCCCCGCTCACTATCGCATCCTCCCCGCAGGTGCAGAGAGCGGCCGGCAGCCCCCAGGCGCTCGCGGGGCCCGGCGCGCTGAGCGGAGCATGGCTGGCCAAGGAAGAGCAGTACAAGTAAGGAGGCCCTGCCCCGCTGGGACCGGCGCACAGCCGGTCCCCTGTACCCGGGGGCCGCGGCCCCGTCCCCGCAGAGGGCGGATGGCACTGCCCGGGGCCGCGGGACAGCGCCCACGCCCCTGGACACCGCCGCCTCAGGCAGGCTCTAGGCCCGAACGTGAGGTTCTTCTGCACTTTGAACATTGACTTTAGTTCTACATTATGACTATATAAAAGCTTAAGCCTGTTAAAAACAGCTTAAAAGCTGTAAAGGTTTTAAATGGACGCCCTGTCCCTGTTACCTGTTAGTGCCCAGCCCCGGTGAATGCTGAGGGCGCACAGAGAGCCGCGTCTCAAACTCGGGCAGTGGCAGCACCAGGGGCTGTATGAGAACACACAGGAACACCTCAGTACCGTCATTGTACATCCTTACAGCAACACACCCTGAAATACAGGATAAGCAATGCAGTCCTACATGAGTCCTTCCCCAACCCCTGCCCCTGGGTATGCTGAAAGGAAGGACTGTGTTAAACATGGAAAACCTTCAGGAAATAAAGACATACAATGTGAATTAAGAAATGGCACGTCCAAAACCAAAGACATCCTTCACCTCTCACAGTTATAGTCTAAACTGTGATGTTTAATGGGTATGTGTGTTTTATTACTATTCATTTGGCTGAAACACAGGAAGTTGTTGAAACATAACTTTTTTAATACCTTGAAGTGTATTTCAGCATTCCTTTGTAGGAATCATTAAAATTTCACTTCGTTCAGGCAAAAATACTGTCACGCTGACATTTATTCCTTTTAAATTTTTCAAAAACTCATTGATAAAACAATTCTTACTCTTTTAGGCGACTGAATGCAGAATTAGAAGCCAAAACAGAAAAACTGGTGCGTCAGGCTGAAGAACTAATGGTGAGTAGCAGACTGTTAGGTAATTTAGTCTGGATTCACATGCACACAGGGTTCAGCTTCAAAAGAAATTTAGACCTTGACTACTAAAAGCATATTGCTTTCAAATGCAAGGTAAGTTTTATTTCTTTTCGAAGTTGTAAACTTGTATTAAAAATACATTAAAAATAGTTTCTGTGTAATTTCATCAGGTAGGTATTCACACACCTGCCTGCAGCATTTGTGCAGATACACAGTTAAAACCACATTAAAAACTTGCTTAGTTGTTTAAGAAAAGTATCTGTAGGTGGTTTTATGCCTTAAGTACTAAAAATTAGTATTTGAAAACCAGATACTGTTACAGTAACCTCCTAGTGAAATATGATCTACATTGTTCAAGCTGAAAGAGATACAAAGAATAAGCAATATAAATAGAAAACATAAACTTAGTAAGAAGGAAGCTTTCTCCAAACAGATAAAGTTGCTGTTTATTATCAGTATTATTGTTTAACCAGATAGAGTCAACACTTCATATGAAAGTTGGACAAATGAATAAAAAGGGAATGGGGCAGGTAACAATTTGGAGAAGGTGTTCTGCTTATTAGAAATGTTTATTATAAGTACAGTCATTCAAATAAACAAGGCTTAAAAAGCAAATTACTAAGTATTCTGGAAAGCTGTACTTGTATGCACGTTTCCTACTGTTGAAACTTCAGTTTTATGGGCTGTGAAAACATATTCTTCTCTTGAGCAGTGACAAGCTGGGACTAAATGCTTGGCATTTGAACATGAGCAGATGAAACAGCCAAAATAGCATCTAGTCTCTTTCCTTTAGAAAACAGCAACAACAAAACCACTGTTCTTTTCTTCTCTAAACATAGCAGAAGATGAAGTATTTTTAGGGTACTTAATATACCACATGGCACTGCCAGATTGCACAGATATACGTTTAACAACAAAACAGCAATGGCATTTTCATTTTCATCTCTTCCTGTGTTTCAGAAGTTCTTTTCCACAGTAGACTATAGTTTCCATTCTTTTCCATAGTAGACTGTAGTTACTGTGATTTGTGATTTACAGATAGGTAATTCATCTTTAATGGATTACAGTCTCCCAAAATCAACTACTTTTTACTTTTTTCTTTTTTTTTTTTAATGAAGAAAAGCCAACAGAAGATGCTATCTCAGCCAGCTTCAGTACAGAGTAAGTCACCTGAAGATGACAGACAGAGGTATGTGCTTTACAACTGCTGTGTATAATTGGTGGGGAACCTCACACTGATCCTGCATGCCTTGTGTCCTAACCATGCTCCTGTTTTATCTGTCTTTGCATACCAATGCATACTGCATTGGTGGAGTCTAATCTTTTTCCTATTATTTAAAAAAAAAAAAAAAAGTGAACCTAAGCAAGTGTTATTCTTTGTTATTTCAAGAAAGGCTTAATTTTGCTGGAATGTTCTAAGATATTAAGAAGTGCTGACCCTTGTAAAAGAGCAAAGTAAGGTCACAGGTTTCTTTGCAATACCAAACAGTAGGCACTTGGCAGTGGATGGTTTTTAACAGTTGAGCTGACAAAGTGAAGGAATAAGATACTGGTTCACATTTGACTTGGCCTAAATGTTCCTGGGACGGGAAATGCCTGATGAAAACAAACACAAAGCCCTAGGACAGGCAAACACTGAGCTGCCACCCTCTGGAATGTGGATACCATTACAGTGCTGGGCCTGCATGCCTTTGGCCTGGATATCACAGCCCGAGTGTCCAAACCCCACAGCTCACGAGCAGGGACAGGGCTCCATTCCCTTAGTCATGCAGGGCATTATTATTTCCTTAGTTGTTCTAGGGTTTGTGTATTGGTAGTGTGGGAAATGGGTGAATTTAAGATAGACTTATTACACAGTTTATCAAGGATCTGGTCTGTAGGCTCCTAAATTTATGATGCCACTAATCTGGATAAGAAAGATACAGGAACAGACAGCAAAATGCTTCAAATGTTAAGCTGCAGTTGGGAATATTTTCAAATAGGGTATATGAAGGTCTGATAAAGATGATCAAATAGTTACTTTTGTGTAGAATAGAAGCAAAGACATGGAGTTTTTCTGAAAGTAAAAGAGGTTTTCAGTACACAAAAAGTGTGACAGTAAGGCACCTTCTATGATAGAAGCCTGACTACCAGCAAAAATTTGCTACTACAATTAAACTGATTTCTGACCTATTTTAAAACCACAGCTGAGGGAGTGAGGGACAAGAAACTTAATGTGTTATTAGTCAATATAATCATGCCTTTTAAATAAATTCTGGATGTCACTTTAGTTTTATGTTCTGTTAGATGGATTTTTAACATTAGACAGAATTTTTAAGAACTTCAAACTGGAATTGGATTTTAGGGCTGTTTTATCGAGTGATTGGAAGATGCAGCTTCACAAAGGGAATTATTAGCTTTGATGGTACACATTAGAAATAAATTGAAGTGTTGTAAGAATTTAAAAAAATAAACAAAAAGGGCAATTAGCATGACAGAGTATCAGCTGACCTACCAATTACCAACACAAAACACCTTAAAACAACCATAGTCTGGTAAACATAGTGTTCTGGTAAACGTTTACATGAGAGAAGACTGGAAATCCCATGCTGTAGTGAAAAAAATTAGAAATGTGTGCTAGGAATTAGGCACACTGATTATCCATGAGTGAACATTGAGGCCATTTAATTAGATTAGTTCAAAGTATTTAATATTTAATTAAAAATTCTTTTCTTTCTAAATTGTGCAAGCAGATAGGCCTTAAATCTCAAGGAAGCACTTGAGATATTTTTGAACTATCTCGTTGAAATTTCTATTGATTCCTTTAACGAGAATGAACACTAAAGCAACTGGAAGGAAGGGAGGAACTGAAGCAAAGAAGGAGGTGGTATCGAGGGGAAAAAATAACAAGTTGAAAGGAAAAAACAAATGAGTAAGCAAAGTAGAAAAAAGACAACAAATATGTAAGTCACTCTCCAAGTCAACGTATATTTTAAATGAATTTGTTCTGGAGTACGTGCAGCATATTGTCGGCAGGGAAATCTGAATTACTTAGCAACAAAGCAGCTCCGGTGAGAGGCACTGCCATGAGCTGTTGTTTACACTTTCCCTCCCCAGCCACGGCCCGGCTGGCGGCGCTGGGCAGGGCCGCGCATGGGCAGCGCCGCTCGGCGGGGCTGCAGCCGCTGTGCCCGGCTGTGCCCCGCTGTGCCCCGCTGTTCCTGTGCCCGTGCCCGGCTGTGCCGGGCTGCGTCCCGCTGTTCCTGCTCCTGTGCCGGGCTGTGTCCCGCTGTTCCTGTGCCCGTGCCCGGCTGTGCCCCGCTGTTCCTGTGCCCGTGCCCGGCTGTGCCCCGCTGTTCCTGCGCCCGTGCCCGGCTGCGCCTTCTCTCGCCGACCGTGCGGCCGCACAGCCGCAGAGGGGGCTCGCAAAATGGGGTGCCGTGGGTGGGCAGCAGGGAAGAACCATTAGGAGAATTTGGGAGATGCAGTGAGGTCGGGTTTTTTGTTTTGCTTTGTTCGTGTTTGGTTTTTTTCTGTTTTTTTTTTTTTTTTTGTTTTTTTTTTGGTTTTTTTAAGGCAGCCCTAAGAGAACAGATACAGTAGGAACAAATTACTCTGTCGAGGGAAGGAATAGAATTGTTAATTCTTGAGTACAGAGCGTGTTGCATTTTGATATTTTTGAGAGTAACATATAACTGCTATTTCTGTGGCAGCAAATCCTCACCTTCTGCATGCTCCTAGAGCTAGCCAATGGGGAGAAAGCTTGAGGAAACTGGGGTAAATAGACAAAAACTAATCATCCTATTCTTGAAGTCTGTTGCCAGCCACACAGAGATGATTTCTCCAGGTTGCTTTTTTGTGTTGGTTTTTTTGTTGTTGTTGGGGTTTTTTTGGATTAATAAAATACGGAGCTTTGTGCAGATAATTCTTGTTGATGAACGTCTATGAAATTTTTAAAGGCAAGATCTAAACGTTTGCTCAAATCAGTCTGGCAAAAAAATTAAGTGACTTGATGAGCCAGAAATTTAAATTTTATTCAAAATCTTTTATAAACCAGCATTTTAAATGAAGTAAAAAAATTATAAAGAGTAGTTTAAAAATAGCCTTTCATTGCAATAATATATATTCACATAACTAATTTTGAAAGCAAAATTATATCTACATATCTGAATAGCTATCTGACAAGGAATTTGACCTGAATAGTACACAGCATGCTAAAACTTTTCTGCTTAATTTCAACAGACTTGAAAAATAATCCTTAACCTGAAATTTAGTTACTAAAAAGCACAGTTTTCAGGCCAAATAAGCAGATAAGAAAGCTGCTTTTCCTTTTTTTTTTTTTTATTCTTGGTTTTATTCTCCCTCTGTAAAATAGATACCATATTTATAATACTTATTTCAGAGAAAATTCTATGAGGCTTAATTTATAAACTGCTCCACCTGATATTCCTCTGACAGTCGCTGTCAATTGAGCTGAGAACAGTCAGTCTGATCCTGCCAGGGCAGGTGGAGCATGTAGAGGACGCTGGTTATATCCTCCCTTTGTTTGTATGAGGTCTGGGGTTTTATGTCACGTAGGTGTTACCCAGTAAGCTGCTGGCACTCTTTGGTTCTGGATTGTCTTGGGGAAGCTGTAACTCAGCTTCTTGGCTGAGTACTCCCTGCTAAAGGGAATCATTGATCTAACAAGCCAGCATCCTGAATTCCAAGAGACAAGATCAGGATTCTGGAACATGAGTACTGTTGTATTAGATACCACAGACTCCCCAGGTGATTTGGGTTGCAAATGAGGTAGACTGGACACACTGAGGATGAGACTGAATTTATGCTTGAACTCAGTATATGTTCTCACCTTAGCTATATTGTTTATTGTAGACATATAAAATGTTATTCTTCTGATTCTGACGGGGGGGGGGGGAAGGGGGTTGTATTTTAACTGCAAAGTGTTTACATTATTACAGTTCAGTGAATGTTTACTTTTTTTTTATTGCAGACATCCACTCTGTCCCGAAGTTTCATCTCTTACACACTCACTTGCAAAGGTACTAAAACTATCCTGGTTAAATTCTTTTCTAGCATAATTTCAAAAATATAATGGCTTATGGTTTTGAGGCTACACTGGGGACTTACATGGGTGCCAAGCCAAAGGGAAGTGATGCCCAGAGCTGTGCTACAGGGACAGTGTTTCCAGAGCTCCTCAGTGCCACTGGTGGTCAGGTGGACTTCCACAACATTTAACTTCTGTATTCTGTTTTCTCTTCAGCATTGAGAGAAATGTTCAGTGTTTTGAACATCAAATTAAGAATTCCAGGTGAAAGTTATTAGAACGTAATTAGTTTCTTGCTCTCTTCCCTCCCTCACCTGTATAACACTAAAGGCAGTGCTAGTGTCTTCTAATTATAACTGTCTAGATAATAAACAAATAGAGTAACTGAATTTAGAAAATATAATGGAAAAATGAGATTAAGAACAATCTCAATAGTCTCTAACTACAACTATACTGAAACTTTTATGAGGTGAGCTGAAGCTTCTAAAATACCATCTGCAGTTATTTATCAGAGTACAGTAGAAAACCCTTTAATTTTTTTAGAATATTTGTGTGAAAGTAACAGAAATATTGTTAAATCTTCCTTTAATGGGGGCTTTATAAGATTAAAATAATGCATAAAATACCATATTTTTAAAGGTATGATGATAGTCCAGTAATGAATACCTTGATAAAAGCTCAGAGCCTTGCTTGTGCATAGATTTATTATAAGTATGTGTGGAAAAACTCCCACGAGCCAATGACTATTGGGTGTATTACAGTTGAGGCGTAGAGACATAAAAGTTGCAAGCTGAAGATGAGTGCAAATAAAATTGAGAAGTTCATTTGGAAAGATTGAAAAGCATACTTTGAAAACTTCCTTTAGTATAGATATATGAAGAAGGAAAAAAAAAACCTAGAAAAAACTAGAAAAAAGTAGTTCAATAATAATGATAATAACACCCCACTAATTTTTGAAAAAACTTTTAGGTAGAAAACAAGAAGAAATTTCCTTCTGTGCCCACAGCTCAGAACAGACCATACTCTGCAAGTAAGGGAAAAAGAACAACTTCAAGGTATATCAAACATCTCATTTGGTTTGTCATGAAATCTTTCAGTTGCTATTTTTCTCTATCAAGTTATTTTATGGAGTATGCTTTTATATTTATACAAATAAATGTATCAAACCTCCTCAATCAGCTCCACCAGGTGGCTATCTCTGTTTACTTGCACCAAAAATTATCAGTGAACATTTGTGATTAATATTGCAGCAATGAAACAGTTGCTTTCTGCTTTAGCACTTCTCAAGGCTGACAATTGAATTCTGTAAACTCCTTCAGTGAAAGGAGGCCTAGTGGGCAAGAGTGGAGCACCTGAGCCAACCTGGGCCAGCACACCTGGGTGCTGCAGCCTGATTTGTGATCAGACTGCTGCTGGGGAGCAGGAGGCCTTGAAGGGCCTCCTCTGTTGTAGTGAATTTGGGCTCACAGGACAAGAGGCTCAGTAATACAACACAGATTCCAGGGGCTCCCAGCTGAGAAGCTTCAGCTCTGGAGGTAGCAAATTCAAGGTTGTAAAACCAAGAAATGGAGATCTGGACAAAGAGAGGAGTCAAAAAATCCATAAGCCTGGGAGCAAATTAAAAAACAGCCATGAATTATGGCATAATACCAAAATAGGATGAAAATTGTCTGCAAGGTGACAGGACATGGAACTGACAGGCTGAGGCTGTCTTACAGGAGTTGGAAATCCCTGGGGAGACCCTGCAGACCTCCCTTGGGCAGTTCAGGGGAGGTCATTATGCTGGCACCCCTTCATGAGGTTGGGAAGTGGAATTGTGCTGATGCAGAGCCTGTGGGGCAGCCCAAAAGTTGTGGGAGAAAGTTAGGAGCTAGGAGGAGTTTGGAGGCTGGAATGAGGATATGTTGGAATAAGAACTTAGGAGCTTCAGATCCTGTGAGAACTGAGATCACCTTTCTGTAGGAGAAAGCTGAGGAGATGTCCTGTGTAGGTGATGTGTTACCCTGTATTTTGGTTTCATGAAAATGTTGATATGCAGCTTCTAGGATCAGTGAAGTTTCCTAGGCTGAATAATGATGCAGAAATTGTCATAAGGTAGGAGTACTGCCAGGGGCAACAGAGTTCTGCAAGATAATGTGGCAGGGAGTGGAAAGAGCAGAAACTACAACAGAGGATAGAGGATCACCCCAGGACAGTAGCCAAAGCCACTAGAGCATTCCTCTCTTTCTTTGCTTTACTCTGATTTAGTTATGGATTTATTAGATGAGAAGACTGTGCCAGAATCTTCTCAGTTGAAAATGGTGTGGTTTCTCTGTGGTTCTACATTATATATGTGGTTTCTCTGCCTTCTACATTAACAGTATGTAAAATCTTGTAATTATTTATGTGGAATATGGTAAAGGTATCTTACAGAAAGCAAGTGAGAAATTGCCATTAATGCATCTTTCATATGAATGCAGGTAATGAAATTGCATTAAATGCAGGTAAATAACTGTACACTCTTAAAAATAGCAAATGCTAAAAATATTTTACAAAAATATTATGTATTATAAATTTAAAATCTAGTGTTTTCATTTTTTTTTAGTTCAAAAATAAGAACTGTGGAAGTGCAAAGTGCTGATGGTGTTGCAGTACTGGAAGATTGCATAGGTTTTTCTTTAACAAAAACAATTAGCAAAGTTGAAGAAAGACTAAAGAAAGGAGTCTTCCCAGACTGTCAAGATGATGATATTTTTCCAAGGGTTGGAAATGAAATGGGAGCAGGTAAGTTTCCTTCCATGGTTAGTACGTTTATTCTTGCTTCATGACTGTTAGAAATGGGTTTTCCTGGGGAGAGAAAAAAGGAGTTTCTGTAAAAATTACAGGGAAAATTCTATAGGCCTTAATCCAAAGGAGAAGGGAAAGAAGGTTTCTCCTCTCTACATAGGCCTAGAGGAAGATCATGTCTCATATGATTGATTATGTGGAAAAGTAAATTTTTATCTTCCTTTCCACCTCTGTAGGGAAGTATTTGGATGGTTACATATGTTGAATAAGTGCATAACATTTGATTCATTTCACTGGGGAAACAGAAGTACAGGATGCTAAGCTTGTATTTCCAAAAAGATGAGCTTCAGTCTTTGCACAGACTCTGCCTTTGGAGGCAGAAGCCTTTCCTCAGACCAGTGCTGTGGATCTCATCAAGTGGCTGAAACAAGGTAATGTTTCAGCTAGTGCTTGAATTAGAATCCTCCAGATATTTTCCCACTGCAAATGGTGTGTTTATGTCTGTCCTAGAAACAGAACAGGGAAGGGATTGCAGCATTCGCCAGCAAGGCTAAAGGCATGACACACATTCTGGTGTGATAAAAGTGAGTTTGTGTAGTTCTTTACAATGCTAAAGTGAGCATGAAGTCAGAGATTCACCCCAGTAGCTGGAAGTGCCTGAGCCCTCTCCTTTTAATCTAACAGCTTGATGTCAACAAGCATGCCAACACAGAAATAGCTTGGTTTCTAACCTCATGTAATTCTATGCACATCTTCTGTTACCAAGTCTCCCATAACAGATCCTCAGATAACTTTTTTATAGTTTTCTTCCTGAACCAAAAAGCTTTGGCTTGCATTGAAAACTTCTACCAAATCAATTCAAGGCAACTCAAGAGGAGTTATTACTGGTGCCTTGTAATCAGGGACCAAGGGCATGTATGGGAGTATTGAGGATTGTTTCTGTAACTTGAAATAATGATGAATGGTGAAATAAAAATCCTCTGGATTGATTTTTGCATTTTGAATTTGATATTGACTGTTTCAAACACTCTGAATGCCTCCTTAATGTGGCAAATAAGCTATTGCAGAGCATTCCAGCAGTGTCAGACTCTCAGGACAGTTAGGGTGTTCACAAGCAAGCAGGCACAGGTATTAAGCAGGCCCTCCTACAGAGAAGGCTCAGTGGGAATCTCCCTAATGGATTCCTTAGGCCTGTGTGCCTGTGCCCAGCCACTTAGGCCAATATGCTGATAAGGTTCCACAGTATTGTCCTTTCCTTGAGCTTCTTGTAGCACTCTTCCTGGAATTGGGTTCCCTGTCTTTATTTCAGAGTCACAGGTTACCACAGTGCTGCCAACACAGTAGCTTAGGCATTATTTTAGTCTGGAACTGTTTTGGAGGGGGTTATAATTCAACTCTGCAGTAACCAGTAATGGTAGAAGCACACAGACATAAAGAAGGCTGAACATGAAGCTCTATTTTTATCTAATATACTCTTACACATAGGAATAAAATACTTGAATATATTGTTGCACTTCATGTTAATCTTCATCTTATCTCAAGAATTCAAGAAATCTGTTCTTTCTTGTAGGGTATCAGTGTCTCTCTGATATAATTTTCTTGTTTATAAGGCCCTAAATCATCGGTTACTTTATAACCTAAGACCATCCTATGAAATGATACTCCTCCTTATCAGCCTCATCAGGTGATTAAAATTGACCAGTTAGGAAGCTAATTGTTTAATTATCTTTACCCCTTGTCAGAATTCAGATTATGTGGATCATGGGCACCTCTCAGGAGTGATTCAGTTCTAGTTGTGTATTTGAATTCTCACAGGTTTTACTGCTAAGTGCTCTTAGTGACACACAGCTGAATAAGACAGAAGCTGTCTGTGGACTGATAGCTGAGTAAAAGAGGAAACAAGATGGTAAAAAGAACCAGTTTTTACAGGCAGTGGTATAGCCCTAGAGGAATCTGTCACAGAGTTTACATTGGTAGCTGGTAAAGAAATTTGTAACAATGATTTTAGGGTAGTTAAAACTGATGAAATATTGCAAAAGAATCTCATAGTACTGAGTGAGGTGGTGGAGCCCAAGTGTATATTCTGTGTTAAAGAGTGCAGAGTAACACTGACAGAAAACACAGCTTTCCAATCCCACTACACAACTCCAGTCACGCTTACTACTGAGCTGGACTTACCTTAATTAGTGATAACTAAATAATCTCCAAAAGCATAAACTTACTGCCTGTTCATAGTAGAAAAGGCAATGAATTTTTAGAAATCCTTCAGAAGATAGCAGAAAACAGAATATTGTACTATTACCATAACGCTGTTATATAATTGATGCTACCCCATCTTGAGAATGGCACAGTTCTGTCCACCCCATCTCAAATCTAGGATGTAGAACTAGCAAAAACACATGTTCAGAGTGTACAGTGCAATGAGGAGTGTAGAAGAGCATGAATTTGAATCTTCCATTTGAAAACAAAACAAGTAAAGGCAACATGAAAGTACTTCAATGAAAACAGGAATGGTAAAGGGAAAGCTGTCTTTCTCTAATGCAAACACTAGTAAATGCCACATTAGATTGGATTTAAAGTAAACTACACAAAGTGTTTCTCTTTCACATAAAGCATAATTAAATTAGCCAGCTCATTGCCACAGGACATGGTAAATGCCAAACTACAATATGTTTCACAAAGAAAATCAAATAACTTAATAGTACAGAAGTACCTGAAAGGGGATTAAACATGAAGGTTTCATTATGGTCTCCATGTTACCAGAAACTAACAAGGATATAACAGGAGGAGTAAAAGTCAGCCTGTATCTTATTTTTTCCTGATGTTTTCCTAAACTGTACTTATTATTGGCCTCTGCAGAGTTAGAGCTTAAGCTGCAGTTGATGAGGGAAGATGGGTGAAATTAAATTCCTGTTACAGCAAATGAACGTATACCCATCCATTTCTCCACTCTTAGCTCTAGGTCCTTATCCTTCACAATATTCTTTTCCTCTTGTAACTACTGGGAATAATGGTTATTCCTGTGTTAGTCAGCTTGATCCTCAGACTGCTTCCATGCTTGATGCTTGTGGAAGTCCAGAGGAAGTTCCTTGTGAATGATCTGGGGAATAGGAAGTATGAGAACAGCCTGTTCCCACACAGCTTGTTTTGTCATGCCAGTCCGTTTCTTAGCTGTCCAAGAGCAAGACACGATTTCATTTGTAAAAAAAATCCGATTACATGGATTTGATTTTAAACTATTAGTTGAAGAATGTTAGCAGTGTACTTTTAAAAAGCATAGAGTACTGTGTGGGAGGGATATTTACCTGTTAGCAGGGGTTTGCAGCCTACACCAAATTCCTTGTGCACAGTTTAAAATGACTTTGGCTGTAACTACAGAAGTTGTAGCTCCGGCTGGATTGCAATGTAGACATGCCCTACAATATAGTTTTGTTAACTTCAAACTCAAGAAGTGCTGCCATGTACAGCATGGTATGATGCAAGTTTTCAGTAAGTTTCAGTGTTGAGAATTATGAGTCTTTTAAAATTAAAAGATGTCAAGTTCAGTCATTAAATGGAAAAAATCTATACAAAACTTTGCCTAAGAATGAGAAACCTGCAAACACTTTTTTAGAAATCTGAGTTATTTGCCTATTTCTTTTCATAATTATAAACAATGTCATGTGGTTTTAAATACAAGAAGATGAAAGTGAGTTCTTGCATCAGTTTTGGTTCTTGTCTGCATTGAATAATGAGTACTTGTGTATATTAAATGTAACTTTTTATGCTCACAGAAGCTCAAATCAGATTTCTTAAGGCAAAATTACGTGTGATACAGGAAGACCTGGCAAATATAGTGTTTGAATGCAGGAAAAAGGTAAGGGATTAATTATTTAATCTAGAAATTGAATAGGTTCCTTTTTAACAAATAATCCCAAACCAGAATTATCTTGAAACTTTTCTGTTTCAAGTATTAAGAGTTAACGTTCTATTTTTTTAAAACACCATACAAATTTAGAGTCAGGGGTGGTAATTTCTGTATAAATGTGATCTTGGGTAAAAAGCTCTTAAAATACACTTAATGGGAAATAATTTGGGGCAGGAGAGAACCACTGGGAACAAAGACATGCCCCAGCTGGAGGGCCACTGTGGCTCTGCGAAGTGTCAAACCATCTCCTTCCTGTTGGGAGCCTGAGAAAAAGGAGGAAGACACAGTAGTGGTGAAATGCAGATGGTGGAGTACAGAGAGAAGGGAAGTGGTGCCCAGAGCTGGCTTCTGGGGCGAGATGGATGTTTTGGGTAGAATGAGAAATAGACCAGCTTGAGAAATAGAAAATCTTGAGAAATACAGTCAGGTGCTTTCAGTGTCATCAGTGGATCAAAGTGTGGAAAGAGCTTCCATTTCAAGTTGAATATTGTAATCAAAACAGAAATCAGGCTTTCTCTGTACAACTGATGCAGAGGACAGTGCTTGGAACTACATACCTGGGCAGATCAGCCTGAACTTAAGGCATTGTGAAGCTACACTGATACTTCACTGTTAGATTGTACAAGTGAGTTTTATGATCTGCACTGTCTGGCAGTATATTTTAAAGTGATGCTCAAACAGCTCTTGAACTGTAAAAACAAGTAGTTCATACCTGTCTGCCAGAGAGATTCACTTCTTATTCATGTATTTGTAATCAAGCAAGGTTTTTGAACTAACTTTCCATTTTACATAACTGCACTATTTTTATTTGTGGTCTGTTAACTTCAGAATGCTTTTTTACACCTATTCCCCAGGCCCAGAAGTGATGATGACATTAAGAACATATGGCAAAACATCTATATATTTTCTTACAAGCCTTTAATTTAGTGTTAAGGAGCAGGATGATAGTAAACAAGTTTTTTGAGATAAGTACATGAAGAAAATCTTTAGAAGGAATTAGATTTTGATATTTTATATCTGTACTTTATTTTTATCGGCACAGGTGCTTCTGCATTTCAATACTTCTATGCTGTGGTCAGAAGAAAGTTGGTACATTAGATTTTAAAGTAATTTTCAAATCAAATATAATTTTGTCAGTAGCTGTTGAACTTCATCATTCCATGCCAAAATCACGACAGAATTCAGTTACTGTAGCAGATGACAGAAGACAACCTTGTACTTTTTCTAGTCCTGCTCCCTTAGCACTTTGTAGGTAAATTTATCATTTTGGGTTCTAGTTTCTCTGGTGTGAAAATAACTATTACATTCAGAAGGTCACAAAAATTTCATTTTGGCAAAGCCTTGAGATAGATTCTGGGTTTGGTTCCAATTCACAGTCCAATTGTTATAAGGAAGCAGTAAATCTGTTGAAATTTAAAGAGGTGGGAGTTTCTGAGGTACATGAAGTCATGAGAAGCTTAGGATAAAGCATACAAATTTCCCAGGTGGGAAGCTTGTATTCCAAGGGGCTGAGAGAACAGCAGAGAGAGACTTTTTTCACAGAAATTCCATTTCTGTGTATGCCTTGGTTTCTTTTGCTTAAAGAAAAGCAGGGCATAATGTGTCTCTGAAACAACTACATTAGTATTCACTTACAATGTTTGAAAGGTTATAAAAGAAAAATGCCTTGAATTATAATATTCAGTGTGGGATGTAATTGCCAGTAGGTCATGAATCTAAGACAGGACTCACTTCATGTAAAGAGAATCTTAAATTTGAATACTTGATGTATCCTGGATCATTAGCTTGCTTTTAAGTCAAAACCAGATAATCTCCTGAAACATAATGGAGTGGTTTATCAGTAATTATATTCTCTTCTTTTTCCCATAATTTTTCTTAATACGTGCATTTAGCTATTCTCACCAAAAAAATATATGTATCTATGTCACAAAATATCTATGTACCACTGTTATTCATATAATTCCATAACATTTTGATTATTTTCAAAACCTTTGAGCTATGAGAAATGTTTTACATACTGCTACAAGACAGTTTCAAGTAAAAGACTGCAGAATATTAAATGAGAAAAGTGTTACTGCTTTTTAAAGTATTATCTTGGTAAAATTGTGTTTTGTTTTCTTAGTCTTGTTGCTGTTTCTAAATCTACAGCATATATATTCTTACTGCCTTTTATTTATAAGACATTATTACTGCATTATCCTCCTGCTTCCTTGCAATCATTTAGTTGGGTTTTTTTGCTAATTACTGCCATACAGGATGATGAAAATCAGAATTTAGGAACTCGGCTTAAAGATACTGAAGAAGAAAACTCAAGACTGCAACGAACAGTCAGCCTGCAGCAGTCTCAGATTGAGAAGTACAAAATATTGTCACAAGAAGCAAACAAAAAAACTGAAGAGTTACAACAAGAGGTCACTGCACTAGAAAAGGTATTGCAGATATTGGTCTTATTTATCTCAAAAAAGGGAAAAACCCACATCCAATTATCCTCTGCTCCCTGATGGAGTGATAGAGCCACGTCCAAAGATCTCATTAGTGTTTCAATGTCTGTTAATTTATAAATAGTATTTTTAAATGGCCTAATTTTTTTTTAAGGAAGAAATAATATATTTTGCTAACTTTTTCTTCTGCTTTTACAGTCATATATTTCTGTGTTTTGAAATTAAATTCCTATGTAAAAGACACACAAGAGACAAAACTACCTTTTCAGCAACTGCTGTCAAATTTAAAAACTAATCCTGAAAAGTACAAGGGTACTTTTGGTTTTAATTATAATTTTTGGGTTTTAATTATAATTTTTTTTAAATTGCTTCTTTAAATTCTATTGTAAGCTGTTAATCTAGTGAACATTTTTTTTTAAAGCACATGCACCTTATAATGGTATCTTGTGCAGGTAAGGGAAGGGATGTGCTTGTTGTTGCACATGGAAAAGCAGGCCCTGCAGTGTGGCTGAGCCCAAGTGAGCGTGGCTGCTGTCCCACAGCAGATGGCTGCTGACACAGCTTGCTTTGTTTGGAACTTCATCTTAAGGGCAGCATGTGGTTTTTTTTAATTACTCAGAGCTAGAGAGGTTGACTTCAAAACCATGTAATACATAGAGTGTTGGGTAGTACTTGTAATACAACCACGAGAATGTTTCCATTAAAAAACTGGGGAAAACAGAACACAGCTCAGCCCATCAAAGGCTCATACTTCCATTAAATCATAGTAGGGATTTATGTAGGCATGCTTGTATCTTAATGTTTTGTAGTTCTGGCATTTTAAAACTAACATGGTCCTTGGGGGTTTTTTTGTGCAGATACTTGGAGGTTTTAAATTTCCTTAAACTGATTGTGATTCTGTGAGGAAAAATATTCAGTACTAGTGTTTATGCTACTCATCAGCTCACAGTCAATAGGGCCTAGAGATTTACAGTAATTTAGTTCCTTCTCTTAAAGCAAGACAGGACAAATTATATTCAAACTATCTGGACATAAATTTATTTAACCTGTACTTACAGCCTTCTGGAGCGGCAATTTCCACCACTTCCTTGCACACAGTCACAGTTAGAAAGTATTTAGGAAATGGGATGAAAGGTTTATTCATTTCCCCTGTACAGGTACCATAGCCAGAATATGGTCACTTCCCTCACTGGTCTTTGCTTTGGATTTACCATCCTCAGTTGCTTCAATTGTTCCTCATAGATGGTGTTTTCTAAAATCCCTCAAGCTTGCCAATCAGTCATGGTCATGAAAAACACTGGTAATCCTTTAAAATACTAAGACAGCAAAAAGAACAAGTATATGTAATGGAAGATTCTCTGCTAATTCAGAAGTTATTTTACATATTTTCTCTGCTATAATAAATTATCTAACTGCAAAAACCATGCATGTAAAAATAATTTTGCAGTACCTGCTTAAATCTCCAGTGGATTTAGAAGTCTAAAAATCGCTCTATTTTTTAGATATGAAGTATTATTCAACCCTATTTAATTAAGGTAGTGTAGATCAATTCTAGACGTGTTTAAAAGCAATTTCCTGTGAACACAGGCTTGAAATGGTGTTACTGTGCTGCTGAACTCTCATGACTCTTTCAGTCTACAGAAAGTTTTCTGTATAGCTGAGAACACAAATGAAACCTTTGATTTTGGGTCTTTTTTTGCTTTTTGTGTTGTTGCAATGTAGATGATGGTAGACCTAAGGTGTGATCCATGCTTCCCCAAACTCATTAGATTATCAAGTGTTTTAAATTCATTAATCCCCAGGTACTTTTTGTATGTGCCTAGGCAAAGATTCTCACCTGTTTTACACAATTTACCTGAAACACGGCAACTATTGCATTATTTTTACATTTTCTTCTTCTGGTGTCCAGTCTCTGTAAACATTACTGCTGCAGCACCCACCTAAGGCACTAACTGAATTCTTATGCTCCCAGACATTTCCATCTTTTTCTTTCCAGCATTTCATTTTTTTCTATCTACTTGATCTCATAAATGCTATCACCTTGCTCATCTGTTTTTCACCACTGATCTACAAGAACATTCTTTTCTTTGTGTTCTTTCTCACTTACTCAGCAAAGCTCTAATGTTAGATAGTGGTCTGGGAAACACTAAAGTTGTACTCTTATTCTTTTTAAGCTTTTGTGCAGGGGTTTATCACTTGTCTTGAAGAAAGGCTTGATGTTTAGTACACCTTCTCTCAAAACTGTTTTTTGGGGAGGTGTTGCAGAGCTTCCTAAAGATAGCAGTGTTGCCTGCACTGCTGCTGGGAGGACAGAAGGCCTGGTGAGGGTTACCTGTGGGCCATCACAGCCCCTGCTGATACTCAAGTGCCTCAGCCATGGCAGAACAGTGGGGAAAATCCAGAAACTGAAATGGGATGAAATTTTAAAACACAGTTGTTTATCCTCCCCACTCTTAGAGAAACATTATATGATAAAACTAATCCAGCTTTGACTTAAAGTATTGAAGAAATGGCAGAAACCTTGCCTAGTTACAAAATAAAACATTTATTTCAGGCATTTTTAAGATTAAAAACTTGGAGTCTAATGTATTTAACAATATACCCTCACTAGATGACTTGCAAAAAAGTCCTTGATAAGGTATTATGTGTGACAGCAAATGTCAAAAATCCCTAAAAGGATTCTTAGAATTCTTTCATTAAATGATCTGATTAGCTGATAAGTCATTTGCATTGCATGTAGACTATTTTTCTTGGTCATTAAATGCTTGAAAGACTATTCCAAAGCTTTTCATATTAATGCAGAATAAAATATATAGCACAAAAGATGTAATAGACTTCATTCACTACTCCCATCATCTTGATACAAGACAAAGAGGTCAATTAGTATGTATTTCTTGGATAAATGATGTGGAAGTCTTGAGTAACCACTACAGAATAGGTGTAGAATTGAGAAAATAGAACAGTTGCTCAGAAATGAGGCAGTCTGAAGGCCGCCTCATTATCAGTAAGCCCCATCTATACCCTGATGAGACTTCCTGTGCCCATTACTAAAAATTTGATACTTTAAAGAAAAAGTCTATTTTTTTTTCATAAAACACAAGATGTGCTCTTTCTGCCAGAGCTGTTTATTTCTTTTACTTTGTATTTATGTTCCCTGATCTTTAGTCTCATTGTTCTGTTCCTCAAGTTGGTTTCTTTCTCTCATTTCCCCACTTACAGCACTATGAAATACTGTCAGCAGAGTCAAGAGACAACTGCTTTGATTGGTGCCATAACACTCGATGAACTATTTTCTGCCAGATGAAATAGTTACTACCCTCAGCCATCTGCAGTAGGCTGCTTTAACTTCTTGGTGGTAATTGCATGTACTAATCTCTGGGGCAAAGAGGTGAAAGGAGCAGGTGGGAAGAAGCAGCTGGGAACAAGACCCACCATTCCAGAATCTGTCATAGAGTGGACATAGTGATATTTTTTTCTCTTTTTCTGACTGATCATACAAGGTTTTCAGTCTTATATGATCAGCTTCACAATTTACCCCAAGAGAAGTTTAAAAAAAATAAAGATGAGTAAGATCCTTTTTCAAGATTTCAAAAGAAAAGGGGCTTTTTAATGGTAGAATTGTCTTTGAGACAGATTCTGTTACAGACCAAAGAAGTTCACAGACTCTTCAGCTTTCAAGGGTGAGTCTTTTTGTGTGTTGTTGATACAGGATTCATTAGAAGACCATTATTCATAATGTTTTTATTGGTTTGTCCTTTGCTTCTTAAATAGGAATTGGAGAGTCTAAAGCGTGCCCAGAAGCAGGCTGCAGCCACTCAGAGTGCAACAGAGGTTCGTTTAAACAGGGCCTTGGAAGATGTGGAGAAGTATAAAGTGGAGCTGAATAAACTGAAGCAAAGCAACAAGGTACTATGGCTTAGGAAAGCAGTTTCCATTCTGTAATCACTCAGAAAAGCTAGAATGAGATAAAAAACTTGATGGCCTGGAAGCTTCGTATCTCTTACAGGCAGCCCCAAAATTAACTTGGAACAAGTCACAAAAGGCCTCAGTAAGTTATCTTAGAGGATACTACTGCAGCCTCTGCAGGAAGAAGAAATGTACAGAATGAAGTTAAAGCCTTTTTGATTTTCCTCATTTGTGTGAAAATGAGACATGTTTAGAAAGAGGAGAAGTACACATGCACACCTAACACATACAAAGGCAAACCACGGCTCTTACTGCCAAGATTTTCTTTTCTTTTTTAAGCTTTAATGTGGGAGTATTTTGATTAATCCCATTTCTTTTCAGAAGTGTCATGTGTGGCTACTGTTTGTCATTTTCTTATGTAATGCCAGGTTTCATTGGTTAAAGCACCATTTTCATAATGAATATGTTTCTCCCTTTCTTCCCTTGGTAGGATGTAGCTAACCAAGAACTCAAAACAATCGAAGAGTTAAAAACAGAAAACAAGAAACTGCAGAAACAAAAAGGAGAGCTAATTACAGGTTTTAAAAAGCAGTTAAAGTTAATTGATATTTTGAAGAGACAAAAGGTAAGGAGCAGACTATGGGTGTATTTCAGTTAACAGCCTCTAGCTAAATGCATCTACTGTCCAGTAAAGTAATCCTGAAAACTGTGAGTTTACATGGAAGGAAATAAAAATGAGACGAATGTATACTAAGAGATATTTCCCAAATCAAATTATTTTCCACTTACTAGTTCCATCACACTTTTCACTTAAAATACTTGGGATGTGTGCAGTCATTTCCATCATTGCATCTCCTTCTGAGGCTGCATGAGATATGTAGAGCTATGGGCTGGACAGGACCTTAACACCACAGAGTGGGACACTTCCAGTTACTCACTCTGCAGAATCTCATGGGATTCATTTTGGGATGGAGTTGGTGCACTTCTTGCACTCTCAAACCAAAGCTGTAAGACAGCTAAAGCAAGCAACGTATGGTGGCTTGTTGAGCAGAACCCCCTTTGAGAAGGGCCAGCTTTAGAGATAAGAAAGTAGAACATTTTATTTACCTTTTGAGTACTCAGTGATCACCAGACATTTAGTAAACACTTTTGAAGCTGTTGAGCCCCAAGAGGAAGAATAGTTCTGTATGAAGTGGCAACTTAAGTGTGTGTATTTTGCACCCTGATCCTAAGAACTGGGAATTGCAATATAAAACTACACTTTTGAATCTGGAATACCTCCCCAGCACAGAGCAAAGGAGGACAGGTACGTGGAATAAGAGGAACTGGGGCTGCTTATGTATTTCCAATGCAGGAGAATTTTTCTGGCAGTAACAGGATGCAGAGAAGATCCTGGGGATTCACCTAGCAGCAATAGTGCTAGCTTAGCCTTTGGCTGGCCCTTCTAGCTCTGCAATTCTATTTTGAGAATGAAAACTACACAGCATTCACTCAAAATATGTTCTTCCAGATGAGGTAGCTTGTTGTCCTCTGGAACATGAATTAACTGGAATGAGTGTCACAGAGCAGCATTTCTGTTTGACTGGGAACCAAACCCATGGTCTCAGACAAATGTCACAAACTGCATTAAATACATTTTCAAGCAATTACAAATACTGTATCAGAACTGCAGATAGGAGAGAAAGCCACTTACCTTTTCTTACAAAAAGTGTTACTCACAGAAGATGCTGTGAGTTGTCCTTTCTGAAGAAACTTTGACTGGAGGAACATGGAAGAGACTGGGGCTAACCCTGCCCCTTGCAGCTTCTGGCAGAAGGAACTGGGGAAGGGCAGCTGAAGCTCACATGTGATCACAAGCAGTGGAAGGACTTCAAGTCTGCTTCAAACAGGCCTTTTGTTGAATGAATTAGAAAAACCTGATTTAGGCTATTTGTGTAGTGTTTGTGTGGCAGGTTCAGATGCACAGAGCAGACAGAGCCTGAAGAATGACAGAGGGAAAACATTCCCCAAAGACATTAAATATCAGGATTAGGATGAGATTTGCTTTGTAATAGCTTTAATGTTTAATTGAATATTGATCAGCTTGAAAGAACGTGGACCAGTTTTCTTACATGTGTTCTTCAGAAGTCACAACAGTTGTCAGATTTTCAGGAATTTCTGTGCTTTATTAAAATCCATAAAATATCCCAGTTAGCCAGGATTTTGTATTGGTCATTCATACTATTTTACCTTCTGCTCACTTTTTTTTTTTTCAGATGCACATTGAAGCTGCCAAGATGCTTTCTTTTACCGAAGAGGAATTCATGAAAGCTCTTGAGTGGGGAAATTATTGATCCCATTAAATAGCTTCTGTTCAAAAGATGAGTCAGACAGTACATTGTTTTGAGACTGTATATGAGTCCTTGTTAATAGTTAATAACTGTATATCCCACTGAATTGATTTTGTTGATTTTACTTATGTTTAAATAGTTAAACTTTTGTAAGCCTGATAGCTTGTGTTGTAATGTTGTATGAAACACAAATTTCTACTTCATTGTCAGGCCAAACTGCCCGTTCTGTAAGGAGCAGAGGAGCACAGACCATGCAAGGAACATTCCAATAAGTGAACTTTGTTATCAGTTTGCTCTGTTCTAGTATTTAAAACTGTACCTTAGCTATGGTCATATTCAGTCCAATGGAAGTCAGGATTTAGTCTCAGAAAATTCCTCATTGCAACAGAAATAAACTAACCAGTGATCCACTTGAGAAGAAAATGTCATGTCCTTTTTAAAACACGTGGTTGGAAAATTGGCCTTGTCTGTTCTCTGTAACAGATCTCCCCTCAAAGCTAGCTGGTCTGGCATCTAATTTAAGCACCAACAGCTCTTTTATAGAAATGACCATAACTTGTTTTAGTGATTACATCTGAGCGCCCCTGGCTGGCATACCATGCATGAGACTTGCCCCTCATCACCCAGACAGACTCCACAGTCCCATGGAGCTGTATTGTGTAAAACTGTTCCTTCAGTCAAGGTGAAAGTATTAAACCTTTCCCTGGCCATCAGCTGCTTCTTTGGGATACAGACAGGAGCAATGACTCCTTATTCACAAATGCTCTACAAGCATCACATCCATAAAAATTTCATTACTCATCATTGTAATCAATAACTAGAAAACAGATTCAGGGTAGATGAGGTGAGCCTATGTTGTATACATTAATGAACAGGAGCAATACAAACCTGTGTTGCTTCCATGAACCTCTGCCACACCTCAGCTATTTCAATGGATTCATCCCTCAGAGTAAGTGAGTAAGAACATGGGACAAAAACAGTCAGTATATGCACTGAAAGAAAGGTATAAAGAGTAGTTCTGACCTCAGAATGACACAACATATCTGCTTAGATCCCACCAGTGAAGTACCTCAGATCTGCCTCGTGGAGATGAGACACACTACATTTGAATGAATGAGGATTGTAGTAGTGTAGTGCCAGTGCAGCCACATCTTCCCAGAACTAGTGCATTAGGAGAATCCTTCAGTCCAGACTGGAATACACATGCTAGGTTAGGTTTCTGCTGCATTGCTGAAGAAAACATTTCTAACATTACTACATGACTGAGAATAATTGAGAACTCCAAAACAGTTTATTGGTGAAAAATGAAAGTGGAGCACACACTTCTATAAAACTAACTGTTTATCCGTTTAAAATTTTGGTTTTAAAATGCAGGCTGTTAATGTTATTAAAAAGGAATTCCTCACTGTTAAAAGCAAATGGAAGTTTTCACTGGCAATCTGATGACACCTAGTGGCAAAGCAGGAGCTGAGCTGGGGTTCAGCTCTCTTCTGAAAGTTCATTACCTCTTCTCTGCTGGTAAGCCAGCCTGAAATCTTCTCCAAGCATGTTAATGTCGTTTTCGTCTTTGAGTATTCCCTGCATTAACGGGAAAGAAACATCAGAAGGTGAAACCGAGCAGAGAGATTACTATGGATCTCTGACATTTTCCGTGGAGGAAACTATGGTATCCATAATACTATAGTAACTTTAAGGCAAGCCTGAAAACCGTCACAAAACCTGAACAGGTGAGTTACAAATCGGTGCTGCCTTTTTTTTCTAACAAAGACAACATTTAGCTGCATTCTCTTGCTCACAGGAGTGATTAGAGTACAGCACAGGGGCAGGTTTAGTAAAATCAAGCAACTGCAATAAAAAGAGGCCCTGGCTGGGCTGGGGCTCTGTCTCCCCCTTTACCTGTGTTGGAGGTAACTCATACAAAGAAATAACTTGGGAAACCAAGTAATGCTGGATAACTTAATCAAAAGCTGTGTTTTTGAGAAGAGAAGCTTCACACAGGAATCTAAATTTCTAATTCTAAATTAATTTTACTGCTAAAACTATCTGTGACCCACAGAACATACCTAGCAACATTTAAAAAAGAGGAAAAAAGTTACAAACTGAATTTATATTGGAAAGTTTCCTATTTGGTAGCACTCTGCTGTTTAACCATTTTGAGTGAAGTAATGTGATGTAGGAACACCCAAATCAAGACACAGTGTTGAAGCAGAGAACAGAAAAGCAGAATATCATACATGGCACATGTGTGAGCCTTGGACACTGAAATTGCCAAGGCTTCCTACAACAGAAAATTCAAACCAGAAAAGTTTATCAAATGAGTTTATCCTTATCAATATGAGTTATCCTTTAATTAAATCTACATTAGAGAACAACTCCAAGTGCTACAAATTCCTGCACCAATTATCATATTGCTATTTGAATAAAAGTTAAACTCTGCTCTACTTAAGTTTTTCCAGTATTGCAGAATTTCTTTAACCAGCTGGATAGTTCCCTTTCTACTGTAAATGCATTTTTACATCCCTAAGGCAGCTCTCAGTTCATTTGTGTACTATTAGGAGATCTTTCCAATCATGAAGCACAATACAAAATAAAGTGTAGTTTATTCCTATTGCAATAACTCCTTCCATCTTTTTAACTTTTAAGAACACTGGCATGAACAGAGCAAGCTCTGTAATGCTTCTGTAAATGCTGCAGTTCATTGCACTGCTGCAGAGTCCATAGTTATGGAATATTTGGCAGACAAGCCAGAGAGCTGCAAGAAATTGCTGCCAAAACCCCAACTGAGAAATTTGGTGGGAACGGGTTTTAAGATGTGGTGGAGCCCTTTGTAGCTAGAGAAGCCCTGCTGTAGAACTCACGTCCCGTATTTCAAACACTGGCCGTGCAAAGCGCTCTGGAAGCTTTCGGCGGGTTCTGTGCAAGGCATCAATAGTGCAGAGAGCCCAAAGCCCCCAGCTAAAGAGCAGCGCTGTAAACGGGGCCCAGCTCAAACGCAAAAGGAAGAGGGGAGCGCAGGTGAGCTGACACAGTAAGGACATCCACTGACTCCAGGAATTGCCACAGTTCTGCAATTCACCTTGAACTATCCAGGAGAAAACCAATTTACAGGACAGACATTAAAATTGTTTTTATTAAAATTGTATTTAAAATACAATTCACTTACTCGAGGAAGATAACCCAGCAATTTCCATGCATGCTCTTTCAAGAGTTTCTGTCTCTCCTCTTCAATAATTGCACGGATACGTTCTTGTCTTCTCTTTTCTAACTCTCTTTCTTCAAGTTCACGCTCCTACAATAAACAAGTTTTCCTAAGTTCTGTTTCAGCTCTGTGAGCATTTGTTTCCACCACTCTCCACAACAGCATAAAGAGAAAAAATTTTAGCGGAGTAAATTTTGAACTTCCACTTCCTAATTCCTGGTCACAGGAAATGCTCTTGAAAAGGATAGAAAAGTGTATGGAAAACCCCACAAAGCATTGTTTAAATAATATCTGTCTGGCAACTGGGAAACAATCTCAGACAAAAGAGAGAACTGAATGGCAAGTCGTGGGGTGAGTCTGCTATCCAAGTGTTTGGTGTCAGAAGCCCTTTTGAAGGCAGGCAATGTTCAGTTCTGGTGGCTTTTTGGCTCTCAGATGAGTTAGTCTGTTCCAGCCCTTCTGCTCTAATCCAGGAAAAGGAGCAATAGGTATGAATTCTCACACTGATGACTGGAAATTGCAACTGACATTACACAGGTGATTTATACCCTATACACAGGTCTCAAAACAACAGTATGGGATTCCATGTCTTGCTTTCAGCTTACACCTTTTTGTCCTCAGATCTCAATAAAAGGGACTTAACCTCAAAGCAAGGCTAGGCCTTCCCCTCCTCACGCATCATTATCAGTGCAGCTGACCAGCAGTTGTGTTGCTGATCTCATGGCTCCTGAAGAGGTATTTGCAGTACACAGCTACACAGGAGGGCAGGAATGTTGCTGACCCCCACCTCTTGAGCTACAAAAAAAGTTAGCTCTAAAAAATATCATTTTCTTGTTAAAAACTGAAACAAAGTCCTGATTCCCCCCACTATTCTCTGCAATTCCTATCACCTTTCCCTACCAACACCAGATTGTTCTTTAGGATAGCACAAGTATTCCCATACTAAACTCAGTGCTCAAACCAAAGGTGCACGTGAAACTCTTACTTTTTCTGCGATACACTGTTTGCGACGGTCCTCAAGAATTTTCTCCACGGCCATTTTGTGTTCAAGCTGTTTCATTCTCCGTTTCTGCGCGTTCAGCTGCTCAACGCGATCGTCCTCGGCCAGCTTGGCCAAAATCCGCTGCCGGAGAGCTCTGTCCTCTTCTCTCATAGCTTCTTGTGCTGCTGCCTTTAGAGCAAACTGCTTTTCATATGCTTGCCTTAAGTCTAGGCGCTGCCTTATTCTCTTTTCAATTTCTGCCTATAAAGGAAATTTAGTAAAATGTAGCATTACTGAAAATACTTTGAAAAATTCTCAGCAGCAGCAGCCAATCCACTCCATTTATCTTGGGATAAATTTACTGTAGCTCTTAACTTCTAGCATAACTAACTGGAGTAAACATTCCGTACCTGACAGTGCTCTCCAGTATTAATCAGCTTGGCAAAAGTCACAAGATTCTCAAAATTAAGTCCAAAACCAAAGGGGATTTTTTTCCCCACTATGATGAAGGGAATCAACATGACAGTCATCCTGAACAACATTCTAAAAACAGCAGTGTTTGGTATCTCAACAGTATGTTACATTTTGTCACCCACAGCAAGGTAAGACAGAGTGTGTCCAGGCCTATAGGAAATAGACATGCAGAATAAAAGCAGTTAATTAATCTACTTAGCTTAAATCTAAACTTGAAAGTTACTGGTATTCTCCTTCACAAGATAAATAAATGTATAAATGGGTCACAAGGGTATTCAAAACCTTTACTTGCCTTCCTGGTTGAAATTAAATACATTAGGAACAGAAAAGGAAATGCAAAGTACAAAATTTTCTCTCCAAAACCTAAGCTAATCTATAAACTGCCTGTCTGACTGAGAACTTTTAGAAAATAGAGTTGAAAATAAATACTTTGTGCTAGAACATAACTGGAAACCCCAAAATCACAAACAACACTGCAGACTTAAAAATCCAAAGCATGGAAAAAAAATCCTTTGTGTACCTGCCAGCACTTACCATCTCCTTATTCCTTTCCATCGCTTCTTGTTCTTCCAGATACAGATCTTGGAGGACTTGTTCCTGTTCTTTACGCCTCTGTTCTTCTCTTTCCATGGTCTTGGCAACCTGTTACAAGAAGGAAAGGTTTCTAAATAAAAGACAAAAACATACAACAATTTTTTCTACAATTTCAATTTTTCATACCATGTCTTGAACTCTCTGTTTTTTCTCCTCAGTGTCTCGAACT